TTAAATAAAAAAGTGTATGTCTGCCCTGGCCTGTGTGCTTCAGCGGTTAGAGCACCAGCCCAAGTATCGAAGGGTCTTGGATTCAATTCCCTGTTGAGGGCATGTACCTGGGTTGCAGGTTTGACCCCCAACCCCAATCTGGGCATGTGTGGGAGGCAACCTATCAATGTGTCTCTCTCACATCAACATTTCTCTCTCTCTCCCTCTCCCTCTCCCTCCCTTCCACTCTCTCTAAAAATCAATGAAAAAACTATTCTCAGGTGAGGATTAACCAAAAAAAAAATTGTGTCACATAATTAAAAAAAAACAGTACCCAGTCCACTTGAGTGTGTGTGTGTGTGTGTGTGTGTGCACGCACGTGCACACTACCTATGAAATCGGTGCCTGATGCTCAAGGGCACTTGGCAAATGTAATGATGTGTCAGAAATGAGGCTGCCACCAGGCACTGAACCCTCTCCACTTCAAAGATTGAGTCACTGGGCAGAATCCTGGACTCACTCAGGTGAAAAACAAGAACCTTTTATCTGGGCTGCCCAAAGCGCCCAGATTTTTGCACTTGACAGCTCCTGGGACTCCTAGGGCAACAGGCCACATTCTCCTACACCTCCAGTGACTGACTGCTTCCCACCAGCTCATTCAGCATGAATCCTGAGACACCTTCCTCAAGAGTTCCTTTCCTCCCTGAGTTTATGAAATGGCCCCCAGGCTCATTACCCACTTTTTTCCTTTCTTTAATTCTCACCTGAGGATATTCTTTCCATTGCTTTTCAGAATGAGTAGAAGGGGGAGGGAGAGAGAGAGAAAAAAACATTGATGTGAGAGAGACACGTTGATTGGTTGCCTCCTGCACGTGCCCCAACTGGGCCCGGGGATTGGGGATGGAGCCTGCAACTGAAGTACGTGCCCTTGGCCCAAATCGAACCCTTCAGTCCGTGGGCTGATGTTCTAACCACTGAGCCAAACCCTCCAGGGCTCATTACCCACTTTAAGCTGGATAAGATAGCAGGGTTGCAAAGACAACTGTGGCCACATATACCCTGTCTGTGTGGGGATGGGGAGGTCTCCAAAAGCACCAGGCAGTTGTCACAGCTTCAGTCTGAGTGTGCTGAAGGAGCAGCACGCATCTCTGAAATCCAGAATGCAGAATAAGAAACACAGGTGCATCCAGAGATCGCACTGCCCTCCTGCATGGTACTCAGAGCGCGAAATGTCTAGGAGGCAGAGGTAACTTCTTGGGGTATGAGCAAAGTCAGGAGCAGAAAGAGGAAAGAATAGGCTTTGGTTTATAAGGGGTTTTTTGATTTTAGAGAGAGAGGAAGGGAGAAAGAGAGAGAAACGTTGATTTCTTGTTCCACTGACTTATGCATTCATTGGTTGATTCTCGTATGTGCCCTGAGCTAACCAGCCAGGGTGGGTTTGTAAGTTTTTGTACTATTTATTCTTCACAGACACGCAGTCTAGTCCTACCCCACTTTACAGGTCACCAAGGACCAGAAAGGTAAAGTCACTTCTTTGCCTAAAGTCCTTCAGCCAGGTAGTGACAGTGTCTCCTTAATCCTAGTCAGGTGGGGTTTCCAGGTGGGGTTTCCACTGCTTCATACCAACTGGATTTCTTTTAGGATATAATTTTGAGGGCAGGGATCCTGTAGCCTATTTTATTTTCTTTAATAAATATTTTTTATTGATTTTTTTTTTTTTTTTTTTTTTTTAGAGAGAGGAAAGGAGATGGAGAGAGGGAGAGAGAAACATTGATGTGAGAGCAAGACATTGATTGGCTGCCTCCTGTGATCGAGTCCACAACCTGGGCATGTGCTCTGACCGGGAATCAAACCAGCAACATTTTGGTGTACAGGACCACACTCCAACCAACCAAGCCACAGTGGCCAAGGCTGGCCTGTTTCTTTAAAATCTGTGCATGGGTATAGGGTGGTGTCTTGCTCATGATGAGGGGCTCAGCCAGTGCTATTGACTCATGCGATGGACCTTGTCTCCTCTCACAGGCAGAGCTTGGTGTTAATTCAAATGCTAGTGCCAGATCCACCTGCAATGTAGCATGGAGCCAGGGGACCCTTGAATGGCAGCAAAAGCACCAGCCAGACAGGACATTGCTTACTCTTACCCTCCCTTCAGGGCAATTCCAATTCTTATTCCACTCTGAGCCTTCCCACTTAGGAGGACACACACTTCTCCTGGGAAGCAGGGGATTAAGGGCAGAATGACTGGGTTTAGTGGTCCAATGGAGTCTCATTTTCCACAGGAACTGGGTCCAAGACCTCCTGTAAGGCAAAAATCACGTGATGTGAAAACTGTCCTTAAAAGTCTTTTCAGATACCCATGAAGCACAAGCAAACATATCACTTCTCAGGAAATCCCAGCCAGCTGCTTTTCCTTCAGCATGGAAGAGAGCTCTGTTGCCTCAGCTGAGCAGCAGAGGAAACCACTGGCAGTCAGGGCCATACTGGATCAGAAAACCTATCTTTGAGTGTGGTAAGATGCTGGAGTGGTATGAGGCCAGGAAAGGGCTGTCCTGCATGTTTCTGTGTCACACTCGTTACAGGCAGCGCATGTTCGCTGAGTGGAGGGCAGGAGACCACCTGCTGCACTATATCACCATGTACATGTCTCTCTCCCTCCCCCGTACAACCGCCCCCCCCACACACACACACTGAGCTTGTACAGCAGACTTTGTGTAAACTAAATGGGTGCTCCAGGAATCTCCACCTTAACACCCGACTCTCAGCATGCTGTCACCTTGGGCTGTCACTCCTGAATCCCTGACCCACAGAAACTGTGAGATAATAAATGTTTGTGGTTTTAAGCTGTTAAATTTTGGGATAGTTTGTTATACAGAATACAAATGCAGAATTCTAATACAAGGGGATAGCTGGAGAGGCAGGCTAAGGAGTGTGAACTTGATTCAGGAGGGCACGTTTTCCAGCGGGGAGCAATGGGATCGGGTCTATATTTTAGAGCAGTCCCTGGCCCCAGAGAGGTCAAAAAAGAGACTCACATTAAGACAACACAGCAGAGATAGAAAACAGGTGGAAGAGACAGGTCCTTGTAAGAATGGTCAGACCTTACTGATCAGCTGCCTACAAATAATAATAATAATAATATTATCAGCTAAAATTTTTTTTTACAGAGGATGCCAGCAGTTTGCAACCTGGAAGAGGTTCTTCACCAGAACCTGACCATGCTGGCACCCTGATCTTGGACTTCCAGCCTCCAAAACTGTCAGAAATAAATTACTGTTGTTTATAAGCAATAAATAAATAAATAAATAAGTAAATAAATAGGAGGTAAGTGGGGGTGGAGGCTGGGGCCTTTTTTAATTATTGATTTTTAGAGAGAAGAAGGGAGAGTGTGAAAAACATCGATTTGTTGTTCCACTGATTTATTCATTTTACTCATGCATTCATTGGTTGACTCTGAAAGTGCCCTGACCAGGGATCTGACCCGCAACCATGGCATGTCGGGACAATGCCCTAACCAACTGAGCTACCCGGCCAAGGCCCAGCTAACATTTACAGACAACTTAGTATGTACCAAGTACTATTCTAAGCATCTTACACATATTCACATATTTAATGCTTACAACCATCTTACTAGGTAAACAGATACTACCGTCATCTCATTTTACAGATGAGGAAACTGAGGTACAGAAAGGCTATGTGACCTGCCCAGTGCCATTTGGCTGGTTAGCAGCAGGGCCTGGGTTCAAACCTGGGCAGCTGCGCCTTTAACTTCTCACTGGACTTCCTGGGGAGGGATCAGAGAGAGAGAAAGGGAGGGGCAGGGTGGGACAGGGGTGAGCTCTCAGGTTTCCAGCCTGGGCAAGTGAGTGCAGCCTTACCCAAAGCAGGAGCAGATGACTTGAAAGAAAGACAGTACATCACCAATCACCTACTAATTCCCTGTGTAGCTCATAGGAGCTGCTAATGGGCTCAACTACAACCCAGCACGTGAAATGTAGAATAACATCCGGACGTGGCACCAGGCTGCACTTCTACCACACTCCAGTAAAAATAAACCTCTCTGTCCAAATATAGAGTGGTTAGAAGTGCCATGTTTTACAGGAGAAGAGGCAGTTATTTGGCATTAAAAATAGACAAGTTTTGGCTTCCCTGCAGATCTGGGCAAGAGCACTGCAGTTTCCAAGTGGAAACCCAGATGGATGGGGTAGGCCCCTCTCAGACTGACTCAGCTATTTAAAAAGCCCAGTAGAAACTTGCATCCCCTTTCTGGGCCTCAGTTTACTCATCCATAAAAGGAAGAGGTTAGATGAGACAGTTCAGCTTTCACTTCAAACTCCCACTGTCTATGAGCAGAGGAACTTAAGTCCAAGGCTGCTCATCAGAGAGCTGGGAGCTTCCTAAATCATGGGGCCCGGAATTGGCAAGGCAAGTTGGCCCTTTGGCTCTCAGCTTACTGCTGACAGGACCAGGGGTGGTTTTCCCCAAGGATTTTCAGAACTCTGTCAAGAGCTTTAAATTACCCTCTTCAGTCAGACACATTGTTAATCCACAAAGAAATGCAAGCCAGGAAGTGCCCCTACAACTCTACCTCCTGAGATGCTACCTTGATAAAAGAAAACCCAAGCCCGGCTTGACAGGGGTGGGGGCAGTGGGGTATGGGCAGGTCCTTTGCACACATTCCCTCGAATCCTGCAAGGCAGGCACAGCTGTATTTTACCCAGGGAAGAAATGACAGCTCAGAGAGGTTACATAACTTGCCTAAGATCATTCAGCTGATGGAGGCTGGAACTGGGTCCAAATCCAGCTCTGGATCCAAAGCCCATGTCTTTCCACCTCATGAGGTCTCTGCTGTGCTGCTTACTGTGTGGTCAGAAGGCTCTTCTCCAGTCCAAGAGGGGAAGGGAAGTCCTGACAAGCTGGGAGCCTCAGGGGTAACTCAGGAGGGCAGCTGAGACACAAGTTAAGAGTCTCAAATTCCCTAATGGGTCCCATTGCATTTTTACCACACCTTCAAACAGACCAGCTTTGCTTTAAATGGTTTTATTAAAAACTGTACCAATTGATGGGGGGAACACACACACACACACACACACACACGCACACGCACACACACATTCAAAGAACAGAAATTCAAATACTCTGTACAGATTAAAAAAACAATAGGCCCCCATTCCCCTCCCTCTTTCCCTGTCTCTCTCCCAGAGGCAGAGTGCCTAGAACCCAGGGCAACTAATCTGGGATGAACAAAATGCTACATTCTCACTGGGTCTCCCCTGACAGCCCTGTGGACTCAGGGATGGGTGGCCTGCTGGCACAGAGGAGGGAGAGGCACTGGCCACCTGTGCAGAGAAGGGCAGTGTGGACCCGGGAGTCTGCACAGGCTCCAGGCACCTTCAGCTGCGAGGCTGGCACATCTCTGGAAGGGCTGGGCTTTCTCTACCATTCCCTCAAGGCTCTAAGTCCACCAGCCCTGAGGTGCCTGCCCACTGCCCAGTGTCCCCAGGAGGCTTCAAAGGCTGATAGGTTAACCCCTTCCTGGGACAAGTCTGGCCAAGGTGGCCTGCCACCAAGGGTCCCCACCTACACAGAGGGGCCCTAAGCTTCCTCCCGCCTGGGGTACAGCACTGATTTACCAAAGCCCTGGGAGCAGTGGCAATTTAAATATTCCTACTTTGCTGCTCTCTACTCTCCCTACCCCCTCTTCAAGTTCCCCCCAAAAGACAAGCTTTCATGGGCAGTGTACTCCTTGCTGACTACAACAGTCAAGTGGCTCCCCAGGCTCCTTCCCAGATGACTTCAGGCAGGTGGAGGCCCTAGCTGGGCCATCCCAATCAACCCCTCCCTGCCCTGACCAGTCAGGAGCCACCCTTGGACAAGGCTCGGCCACGGGGGACAGTGAGATGAGTCAGCTGGGCCCCGCTCAGCACTTTGAACATGCCTGCCACATAAGCTCTGGAAACAGACCCACTCCCCTAGGGGTTTGGGGAGGTCACTGGGAGGTGAATTTTTTCTGCCTCAGATTGAGCAGGAGATGGCCATGGGGACAGCTCTTCAGCAGCCGAGACTTTGAAGCAGGTAAAGGCAGAGAGGCCAGGCCCAGCTCTCCAAGTCAGATGTCTGGCCTGGGGGGGTTCCCTCCCCAGTTCTGTCCACAGGCTTCCAGAAGCCCCTACTCTGGGGCTCAGAATTGGAAGGGCTGTTTTGACCCTGAATAGCAGGCTTCCCTTCCTCCAGGGCATTTCTACAATGGGGAGGGAGGTTTCCAGTCCCTCTCCCAGCCCCAACCGGCAGCAAACCACAAAAGCTCAATAAGTCTTCAGCTGGTTATAGGTCAGAACCCAGGTCAGACTCTCCCTCCCTCTCAATCTGATTCTCCACCCCCTCACTGGAGACAGCCAAGCCTCTGGGGGTGGAGGGTGGGAAGAGGGGCCCAGGGGCAGGGACATGTCTCCTGAGGCTGGACTTGAGGAATGTTCCGACCAACTCACCAGGCCAGGTCTAGATCACTAGGCCAATTAAAAACAGCCAGCCAAAAGGAACCTCTCTCCTGGGGCTATTCTGGGAGCTACCCCATGGGTTTTCTGGGGGAGGGGAAAGGAGGGAGCTTTTAAATTTTGTCCTGGCTTGCTTAAGATAGTCCTTGGCTTCACAGAAGACGGAGGCAGTACAGTCGGACCATCTTTTACCTGGCCCCAGGCTCAATGTTCAGATGGGCTTGTCAAACTCTGGGCTCAGTCTCAGGACAGGCCCTCCTGGGCCTGGCAGGGTCCCTGAAGTGTGTGGCTTTGCCTCAGCACCAAAGTCTAGACCATTTATTTGCTCTCTCACTCAGCTCAGATGGAAAGTCTGCCAAGAGAGGTTAAAAAATGGTTGGTAGAAATAATCCTGGTTTTCTTGTGTGTTCCACTCAAGCATATACCAGCAGCCTGCATGTCACAGCCTTGGTCCAGGAGAGGGGAAAACACCAAGTCTTCTGCACATCATAAATGGTATGGAGCCACGCAGGGAGGGCTGCATGTCACGATGGCCAGCGCATTCCAGAGTCAGTCCTCATGCCTGTTCTCTGGGTTCCTTCTTGTAAGCAAGAACCCATCTTCTTAGCAGACAAACCATGGTACACACCCTGAGAATATAATTCTGGCCAAGAAGAGGTAATACCTCCAGAACATCTAAGTAGAACAAAACAAAGGCTTTTGCGCAGTTTGAGGTCCTTCTCCTCAAGGGCCACTATGAGCCCACATGGCACCTTCATGCAGATTAGGAAAGGCACCGGTTCTTCTGGGCAGACACCGCCCTACAGAGGCATCCAACTTAGTGAGCAGAGCACCGACGGGTCTTTAGCCTCTACTATCTTCCTCTGCAGGTGCCCTTGTGCAGTGAACAACCTGCCCGGCTATACATACAGGAGATCAAGGCTTTCTTCAACGGTACTGAGACCTACTCTTTGCATAACTGGAAAATCCTGGGCTTGTCAGATTTGAGTCTATTCTGGACTTCTCCAATTTCCTTGGGAAGCTCCGGAGTCTTCTCTGCCCAGGAAAGCCATCTTTTCTTTGGGCCTCGCTTCCCTGTTTAGCACCAATGTTATCTTCCTACATATGCACAAATTATCATTTAATTTCTAGGTGTCTGTTAACAGGTTCTGTTAACCAGATTCTCTGTCTTTTCAGATTCCCTGTGTCTGCTATCAGAGCTAGCAGACTGGCTGCTTTGAATTCTCTCCATTAGCGCCATGGCAGGGAGAGAGGGGAAGTTCAGAGGCAGCTGTGATCTTGCTGAATTCCAGAGTATGCCCTCCTGGCCTAGATGGGAGCTGAAGGAAGACAGGAAACCTGTACCCAGCTTTGACAGTTCTGCACTCTAATCATTGTCTGTTGCTCTAAAAGACACATTTCAGCTGACAAAGTCACAGTGCTGGCTTCTTCCTGCGTCATGCTAGGTGTGAAAAAGGAATGGGGAAGAGGAGGAGGAGGTATGTTGTTTCCAAGGAAGCCAAGGGCTCTGGGTTCCTCTGGGGCTGACTCTCACAGGTGGGATGGCCACATTTCCCAGTCCCATTGCAATCCTGCCCCTTCATGCCCTAGTGCTGAGATGGGGGTAGAATGCAGTCTGTTGCTGGGTCTTTGGAAAGAAAAGCCAACAAAGGCACAAGCTGCTGGTGACAGCACGCTGATTGGCTATTTGGCTCATCCATGGCTGACACGCAGCCAGTTTCAGGAAGCCAGAGGTGGCAGTGGTTCTGTACCTCAGGACCAATCCTGGGGCCTCCAAGTGGGACGACGTCAGATTTGAGGCCTACGCAGAAGTTTGGTTCATTTAGCGGCATGTTTGAGGGGTCCTTGGAGAAACCCAACCCTCCCTGAGGTCTGCTGGAGATGACAGGGGCTGGGCAAGAATCCCTGAGCCCTTGGGGCAGGCACTGACTGGGCCAAATGAGAACCCAGAGATAGGCTGACTGGCCTAGTGAAATTGCCATGCTCAGCTGGAAAGCCCCTGGCCAGGGCCTTGGTGGGTTGAAGCAGTGTGACTGTCCAATCTCAGCCCCATCCATGGTGGAAGGCTGACTGGTTTGGTGGAACCAGGAGTGTAATCCAGTCTCTTATTGCTTAACTGAGTTCCTGTGGGTAAACTCCAGTCCACTGGCCAGAGAACATCACTACACGGTCATCTTCGACAACTGTGGACTGAAGGATCTGCTTGTCAGAGCCCTTGGGAGGACCCACCATCAGAGACACATCAGCCTCTACTTCAACAGTGTTTGACAAAGGCCCCATTCCTGGTCAAGGCCCTGAACAGGGAAAAAGGTCCCACTTGGGTATGTCTTATGTACACACAAAGATCAATTTTCAAGATAAAAACAACAAAAAACTTCACAAGACACAGTGTCAGTCCTCGCTGATGTCCTTCCTGTGGTGCCCCATTTGAAGAGGGCAGCCCAGCCTCACCTGGGACCTGCCCCATTCCTGTTCTCATCTCCATTCAAGGCGAGGTTGTGCAGGAAAAGGAGGAACTGCCACCACACGCGATTTTGGTTCTGCTGGTGCTGAAAGGAAAAAAAAATCAACGTCACTCCTAAGCGCAGCCTTAGATGACTCCTTATCATTTCTAATAAAAGTGTAGATCAACATGTCTGGGGCGGCACTTTAATCCTATCAGTAGAGCAAACGGAGGGGTGGGGGACACCAAGAGAAGTGGCGATGAGGGGGAGATAGTTGAGTTCTCCAAAAACAATTGCAGTTTTAACATTAAAAAGAAAAGACCAGCTCTTTATGCACTGTGCATAAAAGGATTAAACTTTTTCCCCTGCTTGCAGGATTTTCCAGAGTTTAGCCAAGTGCTGCTTTTAATCAGATTGGCTCCTGAGCCCCTCAAACCTCAGCTGCATGAACAACAAACTTTCTTCAGAAAGAAAGAGAAGTGCCCCCTTCTCCCCCCACTCCAAAGTAACACAGAGAACAAGGGGGAAAAGGAGGGAGCCTCCATCTGCAAGTGATTTGACACTGTGAAGGTCAAAGGGTTAATCTTCAATTTAAACCACACTGCTGAGGCAGCAAAAATCTGATTTCATCCAGTGCAAACACGCACACAGACAGACATACACACACACACTTGTGCGCCCGCCCTCTCTCCCTTCCCAGCATCTCCAGCTCAGTACTGCCCTTTTTATAGCTGCTCTTGACAGTAAGCCATAAATAACCCCTCTTGGAGCGCTTTCCTACTGACTGGAGCCAATTAAACGTTAAGCAAGAACATACTTGAAAACAAAACAAAAACAAAGAATGCACACTACTCTCTGGAGGTTATCCCAGGTCCTACTGTCAGGCAGGGAAGCTGGGGGCGAAGGTCAGGGGTCAGTGACTCACAGGATTGTAGCTGGTGCCCCACCCACACAGGTACCATTTCCCTGGGGCCAGAGGAGGCCAGGAGGGGACTGAGGGGTACAGGAAGAAGCGGTCTTTGTTCTCTCTTTTGTCTGCCAGGGCAAGGAGGACTGGGCTGGGGCCCTCTCCACAGGGTTCTCAGTAGACAGGGGAATAAAAACCTAGTGTGCAGAAAGAAACCAGCACAGGCTGAACTTGGATTGCTGCAGTGGCCCGGGTAGAAAGCACGTTTATGTCAAGAGTTGGGGGAGCTGGAGCTCTCTTGGGCTGTCTTTAACCACAGCCCTGGCTGCCACTAGGAGACTCCTAGTCAGATAGGAAGAGGCTAGGATAAGTCAGTGGCAGAACTTGTGAAGCCAGAGCTTCACAAGTACATCTGGCCAAGGACAAGCATGCAGGTTGCTGGGTTCCCTTTCACTCTGCCTTAGGCCATGAAGAGAAGACAGGTGAGGTGTCAGCTCAAGCTGACCTCAGAGCCCTGCCAACCCAGGAGAACAGAATGCCCTATACCTGTGGCAAGAGCATTCTTCTTTCCCCTGTGGGAGGGAGACTGGAAAACAACCCAGGAAGGTGGAGGCACAGCTGGGAGGGGTAGGGAAACTGGGCTGTGCCACAGAGGAGGCCTGGCAGGCTTCTCTGGATGGGCGGGGGAGACTGATGGCTTCCTCGTGTTTTGTAAACAAAGATGAGTAAAAAGAGGAAACACACCCGGCTTAACAAAATCTGGTTACAGTAAAGCAGCGTGAAAATGGACTCAGCTGCAAACCTGAAGACTCAGGCCTGCAGCAGCTGGAAAGAACACCCTCCCCTCCCCTCCCCAGCTGCTGCCCAGGACAGGTGCAAAGGTCATGTGGTGGAACAGGAGGAGATTCCAGGAAAAGACTGGTCCCTGGAGAGGCCAGTCTGCTGGAATCCCCAGTCTCCTCAGGTGCCTGTTTGAAAAGGCCAAGTAACAATAACAGCCACGATCATAACAATAATAGTAGCATTGAGTATGCAAGGCCCTGTTTTGAATGTTTTACATCTCTTCCTTTCAGAGTGTGGTCCATGGACCAGCAGCTTCAGCATCATCTGGGAGCTTATTAGAAATTTTAAAAGGGGACATCTGTAATACTTTCAACAATAAAGATAAATTTAAAAAAAAATAAAAGCAACTGATTCAACAAGCAAAAAGAAAATAAGAAATTTAGATCTACTAAATCATACTGTGAACCTGTAACAAGATCCCCAGGTGACTCTGAGACACATTATAGTATGAGAAGCGCTGCTTTATATACATTTAACTCCTTTGGTCCTCTCAACAACCCTATGAGGCAGGTATATATTACTGTCCCCATATCACAAATGAGATCATTGGAAGAGTTACATAAGTTGGTCACACAGGTAGTAAGTTTCAGGGACGGGACTGAACGCAGACTATCTGACCCTAGAGCAACGTCCTTACCCATTATCACTATGCTCTGAGTGCCACCATATATACCTTTCTTTATACCAAATCGGGCCCTCTGTTCTCCCCGTCTCTAAATCGTCTCAAAACAGCACTGTGGCCAGGGAAGGGAGGTCACAATTTTATGATTTGGGGCCTGGTCCAATCCCATCTCTGTATGCCTATTTCTCCCCAAGTTCCCCTAACATAGGCTGCCTACTGCCCGAGTAATTCCCTGAGCCTTGAGGTCTCTGGGAACAAGACAAAACAGCACCCTCACTCCCATTATTAGGGGTACTGGGGGACCCAGAAACAGCTGTGGGCAAGAGAGTGCTGTCAGACAGGAAGGCTAAGGTCGTGCTGGGAAGCACAGGCAGGCCTAGGCACAGGAGGGGGCATGCAGGTCCACCCTCTGAAGGATCCAGCTTCTGGGCCTCTGCCTGTGACAGACCTCAGGCAAGAAAGGCTCTGGGCCAGGAAGCAGAGAACCTGGCTGTAGGCTGTGGTCTCCCACCAGCCTGTCTGTGAGTCCCTTTCCTTATAAGAGAAATGCAGGTTCCCAAACTTGACTGTGTCACAGAATCCACTGAGGTGCTGCTATAAATACAGAGTCCCTGAGTCTCGCCCAGAGCAACTGGGTCAGAATCTCCAGGGAAGGGCCCAGGAATGTGTATATTAAACAAGCTCCCTGGGTGATATTTTTTAAATCAGAAGTAACATTTATTGTATTTTTTAGTCATGAAAGTAATACAAGAAGAGAAAATAAAATCATTCATGATTCCACAGTCTAGAAGAAAACACTCCATGATTTGGTGTTTTCTTCACTCTCTTTCAGCCTTTTCCCACCAGAGTAATGACTTGGCCAAGTGAAGGGTAAACCCTGCCCAGGTGGTTCTACGGCAGCCAGGCCACAGGCAGGCATTTGGAAACCACTGAGGTGCTTTCCAGCCCTCAGGTTTGTGATTTGGAGTTTGTCATCCACAATCATCTTCAAGACTACAACTCAGAGCTCCAACGACTGAATCCGTTTAGCCTGGCGGAGGGTCTGGGTGGGCCTGGGGAACAGGCTGCCTCGTACAGAGTGAGGTTGGCGGCTGCAGCAGCCGTGAAACCAGCAAGAGCAGCCCAGGAACCTGCCTGCAGCCCCCGCAGTCCCCGCAGCCCTTTCCTTGGGCATAAGCAGATGCCACACATACTCCACTTAGCCTTCTCCTGCTATGGGGCAGCCCCACAAGGCCCTTTTCTGAAAGGAAACCAACCTGCCTCATACAAGAGAATCAAAGAATGCCCTGATTTTGAGGAGCAACAATAATTTTTATTTTATTTTAATTAAACAAAAGGGCCTGACGAGAAAGAAAAGAAAAGGGACTTGAAGGGAGGCCAGTGAGAGAAACAGTGAGGAGGAAGGAAATGAACATTAAACCAACAGGATGAAGTACACAAAGACACCAGAACGCCAGAGAACCTGGATCCTTCCAGGAGCGGGTGTGGAGGAAAAGGGGAGAAAGAAGAAGGAACCAGGAAAGAGTGTCCCTGGCCTGGGACTCTCAGGTGCCTGGCACAGCTGCCAGCACATAATCTCAGATCAATGAGTGCAAACCCCAGAGCAAGGCCCAGCTCTCCCAGACTTGGCCTGAGCACCCCTCAAAGTATGGGAACTTGGAAAGAGTAGGCATTCCCAGAATACATAGTCAGGGTGCCCTCAGGGCTAAGGGGTTGGGCTACAGGGCACCGGGGAGCTGGTGGCAATTGAAGTTTACACCAGAAACACTCAAATTCAGAGTCTAGAGGGTAGGACCATGGCATGGAGGGAAAGAATAGAGGTGAAGCCCAAGGGAAGGGGTTCAAACATGGTAGATAAAAATACTGTCTACAGTTAAGAGAGCACAACCAGGCATTAGAGGCCTAAGGTCTGTCTTTGACTCAGTCCCATTTTCTTGCTGTAGTCAGGGGATGAAAGCAGTCTTTTTGACAAGTGTGCCAGTCGCCCCCAGTGTGTGCAAGGTACTGTGACTGAATGGGCGTTTATCCTGTATAACAGGGAACATGTAGGGACACACAGTAGGTACTCAACAGGTACACACTAGACTGACTACAGAAATCAGCCTTGCAAGATAACCCACTTGTCTGAGGCCAGGAACAACTGATGTCTGGCCAGGTCTAAAGATGTACTTGATGTGATAGTATCAGCCTCTTGCTTGGGGAGAGGCCCAACTAGTAAAATGCTTTTTTTTTAAGAGCTAGCTGTGGTGTCTGACATGGTTGGATTACACAAATCAAACTCTTGTTTCATCCCAGGTGGCCTCTGCCCTAAGCACAAAGAGTGTTCCCTGCCCTCCCCAGATAAGAATCTCCCTCTGCCTCTCCCCTTCGGATCCAATTCACACCCTGGGGGGGGGGGTCATCAGTGTTCCAGATGCTCCTGCAAGAGCAAATTCACCCTAAAGAACTAGAAGAAAGAGCAAGGCTACGCTGTGGCCCTGCTTTAAAAGAACCCTGCAAATTTACCAAACAGATAGCAATTTATTATATCCCATTCTCAGAACAGAATACTTCCCTATCTTCCTGTCTGTGCCTCTCAGAGATCTGGGATGTAGGGAGGGCAGGTGTTATCACTCTCGTTTCACAGACAGGGAAGCAAAGGCTCAAAAAAGTTACCCCAAGCAAATTAGTTGAGACGGGATTCTTCAGACCCCTGACTTCTGACTCTAGAGCTATGTGCTTGCACTAAAGTAT